CCCTATATATTTAGGGGCTATGATCCATTTTGAGTTAGTTTTGGTTTAAGTTTCAGGTCTGTGTGCCTAGCCCAAATCATCTATCAGCTGCCTGCTGAAGCCAACACTTCTTTCTAAACCCTGGTAGAGCTTCCTCTGCAACAAACACAATCCTGACCTTGCTGAGGGTGGGCACCGAGTTCAGTCCCGGGCACCTTGAAACCCCTCCCCAACCAGCCCATACTCAAGCCCAGCGCTCCGCTCCGCCTTAGCGCACTCCCGGCAACCCTTTGGGGCGGACACCAGGCCCTCCCTACCGCAGACTACATTTCCCACAGGCCTCTGCACGTAGTTTTGTAAGGGCTTCGTTGCTGGTGTCGCCTCCAGAGGTGAGTAGGTTGCAGAAATTGAGGAAACGGGCGCGGGGGCGGCGCGGGGGGTGGGAGGGGGGCGCGGGCCTAAGTGTGAACCTAGTTGCTGTGACTATGGAATTTGGGACGGTAATTGGGCTCTGGGTTCCCTGATGTGCCCTCTGCACTTCCGCTTCAGGGCCGCACCGATCCGGCGGCCCAGAATGGCTCCCAGTTCAATGTATGAACCCCAGAGTGAAGGCCATCAACAAAAAGATGCAGCCCTGAGAAAAACTAGAGATCACAAAACCACAGCTTAACCATTGCACCCTCCGGAGGAAAGTGGCGTGAATTTGGAGACATATTCCAGCCCTGGTCTTTGTACTCTGGCCTTTCGGTGTGATACCGGGAAGGGGTGCCCCTTTACCCCAGGCTCCCAGATTTCCCTCTAGTATATGTGTGCTGTGTGGGCATGAGGCTGTGACCTGAGTTAGCCAGCCTGGGCTGAGCTCCAAGAAAGGCTCACTGTCCCAAGATTCCTGTCTCCTTTTCCAAACCTGCTGATCTTTAGGAAAGCAGGGAGAAAGGAATATATATATATATATATTATAAATTATATATAAAGAATTTATATATAATCTATCGATATGCAGGGAGTCCCAAAAATGTATACAATTGTATCAGCTGATAAAAATTTTGAAAATGAAATATAATTTAATAAACACCGCCTTTATAATTATTCAAAGTGTGAGTATACATTTTTGGGGAACACCCTATACTAGTATAGGTTAATAGATACATACCTGTCTCAAGATGAGTTTCTGTTTCCCCTTTGTTCCATGAAATGTTATTTTTATTTTTCCAGACATTGGAATATTTGCTTCTGTAAAAGAGGAAAAATCAGCTCGGACTCAAAAGAGAAAAAACAGTGCTATTATTAATCAGGCTGGGAGAGAAGAGGCAGATCAAGCCAGTTGCAAAATTAGGAAACATTATTTCTCCTTGTTGGGAGAAAGAACAGCACCAGATGTTAGACCCGTGGAGTCAGACCTGACCTTGGTTCAGCAACTTCAGTACTTGAGTTCTCGATAAGAGAAAGTTTATTTAGGAAGTCCCAGAGGTAGAAGTGAACTGAAGTGAACTGCAGAAGAAATGGGCTCAGGAAGCAAGTTACAGAGGCATAAGAGGGCCCTTGGAGCTTAAGTGCAGCTGGGGGAAGGGATGGGGAAAGGCCAGGGTGTGCTCAATAGAGAAAGCCACACTGGGTCCTCCCTCTTGAGGGTATTTATCTGGAGGTTTGAGGGGAAAGTCCCAATAGAATATTTATCAGTTTTACAGGTGTGTCTTTCCAGGGTCATGGTCTCTAGGATTGGTTGTTGCCATGACAGGGGTTTTTTGTCAATGTAGCTGGTCCTGAGGTCAGCCATGGCATTGCTTGTCTGGTTTTGTTGCTTTTCTGGGCCTAAAGCTGAAACACAACTGAGGCCTAGATATATTTGATGTCGGTCAGAGCCTCATTCTCCTGTGGGCTTAATGCTAAGGGTTATCCTTTGGCCCCCTTGTGAGTTCTCCCTCTAAGGCAGCGGTAGCCAACCTTTCGGACCTCACAGACCACCAGTTGGTGACCGCTGCTCTAAGGGGTTCTAATCCACATGACTAGCAACATGCCAGGGGAGGAAAGGTCAGGGGGTCTAAACTGCATGACCCAGCTACATGCTAGGGGAGGAAAGGTTACCCTGGGGGTGAGTGAGGTTCTTGTTTTCCCAGTTTTGCCCATTGCTAAGCACCTGGGGCCTTCTGCCTTGGTAACCTTCTGTACCTGGCCCATTGTTTTTCTCTGTTCCTGTGTCCAACTGCCTACCACATACTCAGGTCATGCAGCAATTGTAAAATGCCATAATGATTTTCTCTTTGAGAGATTACAGCTTTCTTACCAAGAAAGTGCTCCAGATCCACTTTGCTATTTTTATTTTATTACTGGGAATACCCAATTGCTAAAGTACTCTCACTATATAGTAGTGTTCAACCTTTAATTAATCCCTGCCTCATATTCTCACCTCAGAAACAGTAAACATTCCAGAATTGTTTTCCCTTTCCTCTGAATCCTTCAGTTGGTACTCAACCCTTTACACAAGAGCTTCTCTCTCTCTCTCTCTTTCTCTCTATCTTTCTCTCTCTCTCTCACCCATTACATTCCAACCGTTCCTGTGGAATAGGCTTGTTCCATGTAGTTTTTAGCTAGTAAGGCTTTAATACCTGAACTACCTATTGATCTGGATCTTTGCTCTTCCTTCTCAGTGAATGATGGAGATGATGTAGGTAGGCATCCTGCCCCTCCTAACTATTACATGAACATTTAGCAATCATTTAATTTCTCCTGTGAGCTGCTTCTTAAACCCTTGCATGGTTTGCAAGGAAGGCTAACAACAGAGCTTTATTTTAGGCTGTGATTTGTTGAGACTAGTTTAGTTGGACTCATACTAGGTGCCTTTGATCTTCGCCACTGCCCTGAGGTCAAAGCAGAGAAAGATACGGAGTGGTAATTTGTTAAGGTTTTTAAATGAAGATCTGTGTTAACAAAAGAAGGGATTATTAGTAGAAGAGAAGCAAAAACATTAGTAGAAATTTGAGAAGAGGTTTGAAGTTTTGGACAGCATGCGTTTGTTTCAGGCAAAATATTTATGTGGTTTTAAGAGAGACAGTTTAGTATAGTGGCTTTGGAACTAAATTACCAGGGTTCTAATCCTAAACCTGTCATTAGAATTGGGTGAACTTGGGGCAATTTATTTAATCTCTTTTTGCCACAGTTCCTTCATTTGTAAGGGAGGATAATGATAAAACCTACTATATAGGATTGCTATCAATAGATGAAAAAATATATGTAAAGTTCTTAGGTAATGCTTTGGACACATAAGTGCTTAGTAGATTTAGTTGTTACTATTATGTTGTAATTCCATGTTTTTTCCTATTACCCAAATCCAAAAATTGTGAGGATTTTGCCACTTTTCTTCATCCATTCACATAGCCCCCCTTTTGTAAATTGTTGATAATCAGGAGGAATTGCTTGGTCAACACGAAGTTTTGAAACTTAATAGTATTATAAGAAAGAGCAGGGCTAAGAAGTTCATTTTTATGGAAAAAAGGGGAATTTTCTTTTTTTCCCCTTTATTGATTAAAGTATTACATATGTGTCATTATCCCTCCATTGCCCCCCTCCCCCCACTCGAGCCCTCACCCCCCTGGTGTCTGTGACCATTGGTTATGCTTATATGCATGCATACAAGTCCTTTGTTTGATCTCTCCCTCTTACCCTCACCCTCCCCTACCTTCCCTCTGAGGTTTGAGCATCTGATCGATGTTTCTCTGTCTTTGGATCTGTTTTTGTTCATCAGTTTATGTTGTTCATTATATTCCACAAATGAGTGAGGTCATGTGATATTTATCTTTCAAGGAGAATTTTCTTTAATAATTATGGGAAGAAGAGCATATAGGATTTTTCATCTATAGTTGCCTTTCATTAAATTTCTGTTTGCTATTTTAAGTGCTTTATATGTAGTATCTTCTTTAATCCTCATAGTAACCCTTTGATTGAGAACTATAATTATCAGCATTTTACATAGGAAGAAACTAAGGCTGAAAAATTAAGTAACATGTCCAAGATCATATGGGTAATAACTATCAGAGCTGACATTTATATTCTAGAAAACTGACAGCAAAGCCTATATTAGTAATTATAAAAGTATACCAAGTCTCATCATTATACTTAAAAATTCTTCCTGCCTTAATAATCCATCATAAAGGAGAGAGGAGATATTAATATGATGTCAGCAAGCAATGTCCAGGTTTTCCTAAGGCTCTGTGGAGGGAAATGTATTTCCTACAGTAAAATTTATGCCTAACAATTTTCATTTTAGTAATATTCTAAGCAAAATGAGACTCGAAGAACAAGAAGGTCCAGCATCTGTTATAGGGCTTCAAAGGGTTGGTTCAGAAGCAAAATAAACTCATTTGTCAGCAAGATGTGAAGGAGGCAGCATGAGACTTCAATCAGTGCTTAGAAGACATCAGTCAGGGACTTTGCGCCATTCTTTTCTAGATAGTGCTCCAACACACATGAGCAAATTAAATCATAGAGTTGGTTCACGAATTAGAAGCTAAAATTTAAAAGTCACTCAGGAAAAATAGCAGGGGTTTTTTCTTCTTTTTTTTTTAGTGTTCTAATAAGCTCTTAATTTAACAGAAGATGTGAAGAAAATGTTGAACTTCTTTGGAGTATTTTTGTACTTTAGTTCACACTGTATTTAATATGGTGATAAGTATCACTGGCTGTCACTGTAAACATTTTAACTGGTCCTTCTAGGCATACATGTAATTTTTTTTCTGTCAATATAGTTTAATACCGCACACGTTTTGTTTGTTTGTTTGTTTTAACACAGTAGCTTACTTAACCCATTACATCAAAACTGGCAACATTATCACTTTTTAATATTTGCATGGTTTTCAAATGTTTAACCATTTTTCCAATTAGATTATTTTCAGCTTGTATTCATTATAAGCCTTATCTGTCAGCATAACTCCGCAAATAATCTTTTTTTAAAATATCTTTATGGTTGAAAGTATTACATATGTCACCTTTCCCCCCCACTGACCCCTTCTAGCCTACCCCCAACCCCCACCCAAGACCTTCACCACCCTATTGACTGTGTTCATGGGTTATGCATATATGCAAACCAGTTCTTTGGTTAATCTCTTTCCACCCACGCCTTCCCTCTGAAATTCTGAAGTCTCTTCCATGCATCTATGTCTCTGGATTAATTTTGTTCATCCGTTTATTTTGTTCATTAAATTCCACGTATGAGTGAGATCATGTGATGCTTATCTTTCTCTGACTGACTTATTTTGCTTAGCATAATACTCTCCAGGACCCTTCTGTCTCAGAGGGTAAGAGATCCTTCTTTTTTTTTTTTTTTTTACTGCTGCATAGTATTCCATGGTATAAATGTACCTGAGATTTTTCATTCACTCATCTACTGATGGGCATTTGAACTATTTCCAGATCTTAGTTATTGTAAATTGTGCTGTTATGAACATAAGGGTACATACATTCTTTCTGACCAGTATTTCAGGTTTCTTAGGATGTATTCCTAGAAGTGAGATCACTAGGTCAAATGGCAGTTCCATATTTAATTTTTTTAGGAAACTCCATATTGTTTTCCATAATGACTGCACCCATCTAACCCCCCTCCCCACAGCGGTGTACTAGGGTTTTCTTTTCTCCACATCCTCGCCAGCTCTTGCTGTTTGTGAATTTGTTGATGATAGCCATTCTGACAGGTGTGAGGTGGTACCTCATTGTCATTTTGATTTGCATCTCTCTGATGATCAGTGACGTTGAGCATTTTTCATATGTCTCTTGGCCATCTGTATGTCCACTTTGGAGAAGTGTCTATTTAGGTCCTTTGCCCATTTTTAATTGGATTGTTTGCCTTCCTTTTTTAAAGTGGTATGAGTTCCTTATATATGTTGGATATTAAGCTGTTATCAGATATATCATTGCTAAATATGTTTTCCCATATAGTGGGCTCCCTTTTCATTTTGTTGATGGTTTCTTTTGCTGTGAAGAAGCGTTTTATTTTGATGTAGTTGCATTTGTTTATTTTTTTCCTAGTTTCCTTTGCCTTAGGAGACATATGGGTAAACATATTGCTATGAGAGATGTCTGAAATTTTGCTGCCTATGGTTTCTTCTAGGATTTTTATGGTTTCCAGACTTGCGTTTAAGTCTTTTATCCATTTTGAATTTATTCTTGTGTATGGTATAGGTTGGTGGTCTGGTTTCACTTTTTTAATGTATCTGTCCAATTTTCCCAACACCATTTATTGAAGAGACTGTCTCTACTCCAATGTATGCTCTTGCCTCCTTTGTCAAATATTAATTGAGCATAATGGCTTAGGTCTATTTCTGGGGTCTCTTTCTATTCCATTGATCTATATGCCTATTCTTGTGCCAGTAACTGGCTATTTTGATTATGGTGGCTTTGTAGTATAATTTGGTATCTGGTATTATGATTCCTCCAACTTTGTTCTTCTTTCTCAAGATTGCTGCAGTTATTTGCTGTCTTTTTTATTTTTATTGGTACCGTATGAATTTTTGGAGTATTTGTGCTAGATGAAACATGCTATTGGTATTTTAATAGGGATTGCATTGAATCTGTAGATTGCCTTGAGTAGTATGGACATTTTAATGATGTTAATTCTACTAATCCATGAACACGGTATATTCCTCCACTTTTTTATATCTTCCTCTATCTCTTTTTTCAACAAGGACAAGACTTTTACCTCCTTGGTTAAATTTATTCCTAAGTATCTTAATTTTTTTTTGTTGCCATAGTAAATGGGGTTGTTTTTTTAGTTTTTCATTCTGAGATTCATTATTGATGTATAAAAAAAGTCATAGATTTTTGTGTGTTGATTTTATATCCTGCTACATTGCCAAATTCATTTATTAAATCTAGTATTTTTTTATGGAGTCTTCAAGAATTTTCTATGTACAATATCATGTCATCTACAAATAATGAGAGTTACTTCCTCCTTTCTAATTTGGATGTCTTTTATTTCTTCTTCTTGTCTGATTGCTGTAGCTAGGACTTTCAGTACTATTTGAATAAGAATGGTGAAAGTTGACATCCCTGTCTTATTCCTGTTCTTTGGGGGAAATGGTTTTAGTTTTTGCCTATTGAGTATGATGTTCGCTGTAGGTTTGTCATATATGGCCTTTATCATGTTGAGATATGCATCTCTATTCCCACTTTGCTGAGAGTTTTTATCAAAAATAGGTGCTAGATTTTGTTGAATGCATTTTCTGCATCTATTGATCATGTGATTTTTGTCTTTCAATTTGGGTATTTGATGTATCACGCTTATTGATTTGCGAATATTGTGCCAGCCTTGCATCCCTGGAATGAATCCCATTGGTCATGGTGTATGATCTTTTTAATATATTGGTGGATCTGATTTGTGAATATTTTGTTGAGGATTTTAGCATCTATGCTCATCAGAGATATTGGCCTGTAATTCATTTTCTTTGTATTGTCTTTATCTGGTTTTGGAATTAGGATAATGCTGGCCTCAGAATAAGAGCTTGGAAGTGTTCCTTCTTGTTTTTCTTTTTTTTGAATAGTTTGAGGAGTATAGATGTTAGTTCTTCTTTGAATGATTTGTAAAACTCCCTTGTGAAACTGTCTGGACCCATGCTTTTGTGTGCTGGGAGTTTTTTGATTACTGCTTCTATTTCATCAATTGTTATTGGCCTATTTAGGTTTTCTGATTCTTCCTGATTCAGTTTTGGGAGATTGTATGAGTCCCTTGTTTGGAGCTGTCAGCAATCCACAGCTTGTGGCTCCCTCTGCTGGGGCTGGATGCCTTTGGAAAGGACCAAATTGTGGTGTCAGTTGTTACTTCTCCACTCCCCCTCCCCCAAGAAGGAGATCTGCCAAAGACTCAAAGCTTCTGGAGATCCACCTCTGCCTGCAGTCCAGTTGTTATTCTCAGAGTCTTAATTTGCCTTAGGCTATAGACCACAGAGTGGGCTGAGAAGTCTTTCAACAGGGTGGGGTAACTCCCTTCCCTCCATGAAAAAACCTGAATAGCAAAGATCTGCAGAGAAATAAGTCCTCCACAGTGTGAGGTAATGACTCACCATAGGAAACCAGGTCGCTGCCCTCTGAGCTCCAAGCCCAGATCCCCCAACCCTGGACTCTCCTCACAGAACTCCAGTCCACTTTGCCCTCCCTCTGTCAGAGCCCAAGGTGAGTGGCTGCACATGAAATTTTTGTGCATTTGCCATTTAGCAGGGTGCCTGCACCTGCATTTCCACCTGTCTCTGGCGGCAAATATCAACCCTGCTGCTTTTCACAGCCAGATGTTTTGTGGGCACCTTTCTCAGTTCTGATACTCTGGGCTGGGGAGCCCAGCTTGGGATTTAGACCCCAGAGTTCTCAGTGAAAACTCCCCCTCCCCAAATATGAGATATCTCTCTGGACCTTTAGTTGCTGTCTGTGGGAGCCAGGCCAGCCCTTTTGTGCCTCTGCACTTCCTACCAGTCTCTATGTGGTTTCCACTTTCCCTCCTTGGTTTTCCGGGTTATCTCCAGCTAGTCTTCAGTTGATTTTCCAGGGTTGTTTTTCTGTATTTTAGTTATATTTCTACTTTGGTTCTGGGAGAGTGTCAGTGTAGTTTCCACTTACTCCACCACCATTTTTATGTGTACATATACAAATCGTTCCTTTACTCCCAACAGTGGAGTTTGTGGTTCACAGGGTATTTAGAATTACAGTGTTTAAATGATGCTTCATGTAATTCTAAATTTGGATCAATCTAGTGTCCATTTTTCCACGACCTTGCTATTTTTTCTAAAATCCTCACCCAAGGATATTTTTTCTATTGATTTCTAGAGAGAGTGGAAGGGAGAGAGAAGAGAGAGATGGTAGGGAGGAGAGAGGGAGGGAGGGAAGAAGAGTGAGAGGGAGGGAGGGAGAGAGTGAGAGAAAAACATAGATGTGAAAAAGACACATTGATAGTTTACCTGCTGCATGCACCCCCACCAGGGCTGGGGAACCTGCAACCAAGGTACATGCCCTTGATTAAGAATTGAACCCATGACCCTTTGGTCCACTGGCCAACCCCCTAACCACTGAGCCAAACCAGCCAGGATACCGTGACCTTGCTATTATGGGGCATCATCAGACTTTTAGATCTCCCAATTCAGTTACTGTAAAAAGGTATTTTTTTTGGGGGGGGGGTTGCTTTAATACATATCATCATAATTAGTAGTGAAGTTTAGTATATTTTGAAAGGTTATTTCTATTTTATAGTTAATTGTTCTTGCTTCGGTTTCTCTCAGTAAAGTGGAAATCTTAGCCTTCAGAGGCAAAAATCAAAGTGAAAAAGATGGCTTTTTAGTTAGAGAAATGTGGATTCAAAACAAAACAATGCTCTCGCATCTAATAACTGAAATTGGGCAAATGATTTGACCCCTGAGCATCAGTTTTATATTGAAAGGAGAGAAGAACTACATTGCAGATCAGTACTGAGGATCAACAAGTGGTGTGTATAAAGCATCCATCACATCAAAGTTCTCAATGACTGTTTGTTTTTTACCAACTGCAGCTGTCATGAATCCCCTTCCTAGTTTAGATACTGGAAGAGAGGGAGTGGCAAAGGATGTCATGCTATGAGAGGTCCTAACTGGGAAACAGAATAGTGAGTTCCCTGGCTGGGGAAAGGCCAGTGCAGCTTTATAGTGGCAGGAGCTGCCAGGCTCAATCTGTGTGGTTGTTATTCTTTGTGTTTAGGAAGTTCAGGCAGAATCCCGGGGGCTCAAAAGAGGTTCTCCTTGGTTGGTGTGGCCCTTTCTTGGCTCTGAAAAGTTGTACTAGAAGCAGGAGGAATTGCTCAGAACGTGTTTGAATAATCTAATGTCAGGACCACATTGTCAGATGGCGAACTAGTCAATTCCTGCAGAAATATCTGGTCTTCTACACCAAGTCCAGTGTTGTTCATTGGGTTTCTTCAGGGCTTGGATTTCTTCAGACTTCCTAAACTCTCCTCCAGTTTGTGTGGGTATGGGATCAGTATGGGTGTAGTGATGCAAAATAGGTAGGAAGCAGGAGTGGAAGAAAAAAAAAAGCTCATATTAACATAAGTAATTTTGGGAGCTCCGAGGCACATCTGGTTTCCTGGCTTCTTTTTCTTCTTCCAGATCTGGTTTATATGGATTTTGCAGTTTTCCAGCAGAAATCTTGAGAAGCACTAACCAGTTCAAAGCCATGGCCTTTGTAAGTTGATGTTTCTTTCTCTCTCTCTCTCTCTTTTTTTTTAGATATTTTTAATTTCTAGGTTATGCATACATACTCATTTCTTTTTAAAAAAAATTTTGTTTTATTGCTTAAAGTATTACAAAGAGTATTACATATGTTTCCTCCCGGCCTCCCCTACCCTCCAGTGTCTTGTGTCCATTGGTTATGCTTATATGCATGCATACAAGTCCTTCGGTTGATCTCTTACCCCTCCCCCCCAACCCTCCCCGGCCTTCCCGCTGTAGTTTGACAGTCTGTTCGATGTTGCTCTGCCTCTGTATCTATTTTTGTTCATCAGTTTATAATGGTCTTAATTATCCATAAATGAGTGAGATCATGTGGTATTTTTCTTTCATTGACTGGCTTATTTCACTTAGCATAATGCTCTCCAGTTCCATCCATGCTGCTGCAAATGGTAAGAATTCCTTCTTTTTTTATAGCAGTGTAGTATTCCATTGCGTAGATGTACCATAGTTTTCTAATCCATTCATCTGTTGATGGGCATTTAGGCTGTTTCCAAATCTTAGCTATTGTAAATTGTGCTGCTATGAACATAGGGGTGCAAATATCCTTTCTGATTGGTGTTTCTAGTTTCTTGGGATATACTCCTAGAAGTGGTATCACTGGGTCAAATGGGAGTTCCATTTTTAACTTTTTAAAAAAATATATTTTATTGATTTTTTTACAGAGAGGAAGGGAGAGAGATAGAGAGTTAGAAACATCAATGAGAGAGAAACATCGATCAGCTGCCTCCTGCACACCTCCTACTGGGGATGTGCCCGCAACCAAGGTACATGCCCTTGACCGGAATCGAACCCAAGACCCTTCAGTCCACAGGCCAACGCTCTATCCACTGAGCCAAACCAGTCAGGGCGCATTTTTAACTTTTTGAGGAAACTCCATACTGTCTTCCATAGTGGCTGCACCAGTCTGCATTCCCACCAGCAGTGTACATACTCATTTCTTATCCTGAAATTTCCTGTTTAACAGAACCCCATCCACGAACCTGCTGTAGTTTTTCTCATTCCCATGAGAATTAGGGACAAATAGTCCAGGATCCTCTTCACGTACTCTTTCTCTACCCTCCCCCCACCCCCCACTAACGTGGACTATCTCCTGTCTACAAAATCTGTCAAGGGCTATGAGGGAATAAAACCTTGATAAAAATGCAGGTATTCTCTGCAGAATATTCTGCCTATTCACTTTTTCCAACAGAACAAGGTTTTGATTTTAATACTAAACTTCAGAGATACTATATTTCTCTGAGTACAGTGAGTTTTATGAAGGAAAAATTTATATCCCCAACATACAATTTAACATTTTTAAAAAGTTTTTTGAACTATTTATTTATTTATTTATTTATTATTTTTTAATCCTCACTTGGGGATATTTTCCATTGATATTCTTTAGAAAGGATGAAAGAGAGAAGGAAAGACAGAGAGATACATAGATGTGAGAGTAACATCGATTGGTTGCCTCCTGCACACACCCCGACCAAGGCCCAGGTCGGGGAGGGTCTTGCAACCAAGGTATAAGCCCTTGACTGGAATTGAACCTGGGCACCTTTGGTCCACAGGCCGACGCTCTGTCCACTGAGCCAAACCAGCTAGGGTTCTTTTTGAACTTTTAAATTGACATATAGTGTACATAGAGAAAAGTGCACAAGTTCTGAGTGTACAGCTAAATGAATTTCTATAAATTGAATGCATGTATGCCACCAGTCCTCAGGTCAAGAAAGAGAATATAACTAGCACTTCAGATGTCCCCTTCTTAGCCACACCCTACCCACCCAGTCCAAATGTAACCTCTATCCTGATGTCATATACCATAAGTTAATTTTGCCTATTTTTAGAACTTGGTAAGTAAAATTGTATAGTTCAATGCAACATTTTAAAACAAAAAACAATGTGCAGCAAGAGTCTTATTTTATTCCAAATGCAATTGATAGACCATCAGAACCATCTGCAGATGTTTTGAAATACATGCAAATATTCTTTAGGGGATGTGTATATCTGGTGCTGCTGATTTATAAAGGAGGCATTAGACCATCATACTGAAAGTGAGCCATTCCTGCCATTATGTTTTTGTTGGAAATGCATTTTCATAGTGTACTTCACATGTAGCCCTTGTTTGTGCCTAGTATAAAATGAGTTCCTAAAAAGTTGGAAAAAGTTGGAAGAAACTGTGGAGAAAGAAACAGTTCAAGTGAGAAATAAGAGTTCAGTAAAAAACAAAACAAAACAAAAAAACACACAATGAAAATACTAAAGCCAAAGTACATGTGCACTAACCCCTGTGTACTATAATTCTATACTGGGGAGAAATATGAAACTAGTTGAGGGGTTGAAATTGATGTATAATGCAATATAAATCTTTGATTTAAAAGGATGGGAAAATAGGTAATTAGTCAAAAATGTAATGATAGAATGCCTGACTTGGGGGAATGGATTATTGATAATAAGTGGGAGACCCCAGTTTTGAACTTTCCTTGAAGATCTATGGTTTGATGAGAGAATCTTATCCTATTTGATTGCTGTAGGGAAAATTCCACACTTCTCCAAATGAGATTATTATTAGCTGGTCTCCATCTCTGTATGTGTTGAGGTTTTGTGATATGTAAGGCTTTTACAATTGGGTGGATTAGGTAGGGATGTGATTAGGGCCTTATGTTACAAGGCCTAAAAGCAGTACATAAAATTTTAGGCTTAACCATGAGTTCTCCTGCTCTCACCAGATGTGCTTATCATCCAGCAGGAAAGACTCCCTATGTGGTTAGTTCCCCTATCAGCCAGAGAAGCAGCCCTCCTGATTCTTAATGTATTGGTTTTACTCCCCTGCCAGCCTGCAGAATTACACAAGCCCCATCACATCCTCCTGTGGGAACCAGGAAACACCTCACCCTCTTTTTACTACAAAGCCTGCCTCCCACAGACCCTGCTTATTCACTCTATTCCTGAGTGCAACCCCTGTGTGGCCCTGCATGACGTTTGGTGTCCTCCTTGGCTGGGCTGTGAGTGTATATGACTAATACACTACTGGTGTCAGGTATTAAGCTTCTCATGCTATGTAGGGCCTGGGAATACTAGACGGCCCCTGGGAAGCTGAGGGCCATCTAATGAATGAATAGGAGGTCATCAGAACAGGACTGCATATAGAAATATTAACATTCATCTAGGAAATCCTGAGAGAAGAATACCAGCAACAAGTCTATTGTGTAGTTTTATGGGATGTGCTGGTCTAGAGCAGGGTTTCTCAACCTTGGAACTATTCGTATTTTGAGCCAGAAAATCTTTTATTGTGGGGGATTGTCCTCTGCATTTAGGATGTCTAAAGGTTTCCCTGACTTCTACCAATCAGATGCCTGTAACACACCTCCTTCTCCAACTTGTGACAATCAAAATTGTCTCTAGATATGGCCAGTTGTCTTCTGAAAAGTAAAATCACTTCTAATTGAAAACCACTGGTTCAGAATGCTAGATATGGCCAGTTGTCTTCTGAAAAGTAAAATCACTTCTAATTGAAAACCACTGGTTCAGAATGATATCTTCCCAATTCAGTATCCTCTGACTTAGGAATGAGGAAAGGTGGTCAGTGATGGGTAATGGATAATAAAAAGTAAGAAGGACGGCCCTGGTGAGGTTGAGACGGCCCCGGTGAGGTTGGGACAGCCCCTGTGAGGCTGGGATGGCCCCGGTGATGTTGAGACGGCCCCGGTGAGGTCGAATCGGCCCCGGTGAGGTCAAGACGGCCCCAGTGAGGCTGAATCGGACCCAGTGAAGCTGAAACGGCCCCGGTGAGGTTGAGACGGCCCCTGTGAGGTTGAGGCGGCCCCTGTGAGGCTGAGACGGCCCTTGTGAGGCTGGGACGGCCCCTGTGAGGCTGAGATGGCCCCTGGGAAGCTGAGAAAAATACCACATGAACTCACTCATTTATGAATAATAAGGACCATTATAGACTGATGAACAAAAATGGATACAGAGGCAGAGCAGCATTGAGCAGAATGTCAAACTACAGTGGGAACCCTGGGGAAGGTTGGGGGGGGGTAGGAGATCAACTGAAGGACTTATATGCATGCATATGAGAATAACTAATGGACACAAGACACTGGGGGGTGGGGGAAGCCGGGGGAATGTCAAGGGGGGGGGGGAAGGAGACATGTGTAATACTCTTTGTAATACTTTAAGAAAAAAAATAAAAAATAAAATGTAAAAAAGTAAGAAGGTCATCCAGATGCATAAATAAGTATTAGATAATACAGACTGTGAGATTTGAGGAAGACTTTTGAATTAAAACATCTAAATAGAGAAAAGATTGAATATCACATATTTAAAATGTAGACTACCATGTAGCAAAGTATTAAAATTTTATTAAAAAAATTGGTAATAACAGGGGAAATGTTTATAATAAAAGTAGGGGCCCAGTGCACGAATTTGTGCACCTGGAAAGGAACTGTGGGCCACGAGGCTGCACTGGGCACAGGGGCAGATTTCGGCCCATCCTCTGTGCCCCTACCCAGTCCCTCCCACCATGGCCCCCGGTCTCCTGTCTGCCGGCAGCCCCGCTTCCACCTCCGCCACTCCCATGCGCTGATGGTGCCAGCCCCACTCACACCCGCTGATGGCGTAAAGCGATTGGGGCTGGTGCTGTCAGTGGGTGTGAGCGGCAGCTGCTGCTCTGATTGCCTCTTAGGAGCAGGGGGAGCTGAAGAAGCCCTTAGGGGTGATCAGGGCTGGCAGCCGCCACTTGCATCTGCAGACGGCGCTGAGCAATTGGGACTGGTGCTGGGTGCCAGCAGCAGGTGTGAGCAGCAGCTCCAGCACCAGCTGCAGGTGCAAGTGGGGCCGTTGCTGGGGAGTGGGTGCAAGAGGTGGCTGCCGGCCCCGATTGCCTCTCAGGAGCAGGGGGAGGTGGAGAAGCCCTGGTGGGTGATTGGAGCCCGCAGCCACTGCTTGCACCTGCTGATGGCACTGAGCGATTGGGGCTGGCGCTGTGCACCAGCAGTGGGTGTGAGCGCTGGGTGGGACTGCGGTTCATGGAAGCAAAGAATTTTCAGTAACCACCAGAGATTCGTCCTGATTACAGCGACTGGTGCCCCCGCTCACCTGCTCCGCTATCCCGCCGTGGCCGACACCCACCATGTTCTGTGCTCTACCACCTTCTGCCAACACCCGCCATGTTCTGCTCATGCCCCCTGGTGGTCAGCACACATCATAGCAACCGGTTGTTCAGTTGTTCTGCCATGCCGTTTGGTCTATTTGCATATTAGCCTTTTATTATATAGGACCTGACTTTATGGTGAACTTGAGTCTGTTTTCTTAGAGATTTTATAGTATATTCAAGAGAAATTGTTATCAATATGTTTTTATGATCATTCAAAGAAAAAGAAGGTAGAAAACCTTATATTTCTTAAGAATCTGTAGTGGAGATACAGCTAACAGAAGGCTGTGTGCACTATTTCATTTTATTGGGACTTTTTGGGGTTATTTTATTCATTTCAAGATATGTGTGGGTAAAATTTAATCTTATCTGCAGCCACAGGACTATTCAAGAGATGCAGCACTTGCTTCAGGGATACTAATTTTCTTACTATCCCTTAAGCATGCCATATGTTTTCAGCCCCACTCTGTTTGCTGCTATGTGGCTCATTCTCTGAAGTGCAATCTTTGATCTTTTCTCCATTTTAAAAATATTTCATTTACTTGTTTGTTTTTCAGGGTTCAGTGACATTCAGGGATGTGGCCATAGACTTCTCACCAGAAGAATGGGAATTCCTGGACTCAGCTCAGAGGGACTTATATAGGGATGTGATGTGGGAAAATTATAGAAACTTCATTTCACTGGGTAATGGCTACTTATTCCAAATTATATTGGCTTTCTCTACTGTCAATTTCATGACTCTGTTTTGAGAAACTAGATAAATTTTGTCTCTCTATTCCAAAGGAATTGGTCAAGTGTTGTTAGTTTGGAAGTAGGCCCCTCCATTTCACACTTTGTCACTCCCATCCTGTTAGGTCCTTCAGACTTTCTTCAGGCTCTGTACTTACCTTAATATCCAAGGGGCAATATTTGAATTCTGGGTTGCTAACAACAGAAGCATTGTCCAAGAAACCAGATTTCACATTGTATTTGAGCTCATAATTAATGTAGATGCTTAACATTCATTTCTAATCCACCTGCAAGGAGAATACCTAGATACCGGGGATCTGAGTCTCTCTAAAAATCAGAGCCTATAGAACTTGTATAAAAAGGGATGGATCCACAGAGTTTATTTAAAACTCAGTTAAATGGCCCTAGCCAGTTTGACTCAGTGGATAGAGAATCGACCTCAGATGGAAGGGTCCAGGTTTGATCCTGGCAAGGGCATGTACCTCAGTTGTAGGCTTAATCCCCAGCCCTTGTCCAGGCAAGTGCGGAAGGCAACCAATTGATGTGTCCCTCTCACATCAATGTTTCTCTCTCTCTCTGTGTCTCTCCCCCTTCCTTCTACTCTCTCAAAAAAATGAATAGAAAAATATCCTCAGGTGAGAAATAACAGCAACAACAAAAACCAAGTTAAAACTCAGTTAAATGTTTAAATGTATTCTGTTTCCTATAACAGACATTTAATTCTACCTACTTTGTAGTTGAAATTTAAAATTCTAAGGACTTTTTCTTGTAAAATTGAATGAATATTCTAGAAAGGATATGAGAATGTCACAAGAAGCAAAATTATAATAATAAAAGTTAATACTAGTAAACACATATTATGTGTATATGTACATATATAACTATTCTTTTTTATTGATTTCCTAGAGGAAGGGAGAGGAAGAGAGAGATTGAAACATCAATGATGAGAGAGAATCATTGATTGGCTGCCTCCTGCACGCCCCCAACTGGGGATGAAGTCCGCAATCCAGACATGCGCCCTACTGGGAATCAAACCGTGACCTCCTGATCAATGCTCAACCACTGAGCCACACTGTTCAGGCCATATATAACTAGTCTAAATATTACACATTATTAGTTAATCCTCACAAAAACTCTATGAGAAATATATTATTTTTATCCTCATTTCAGATGAGAAAACTTTGGCACAAGAGGTAACACAGCAACAAAGGCAGTATTTGAACGCAGGCAGTCTGGATCCAGATTTTATTTTCCTAATAACTGCACAAGACTGCCTCTTAACAGAGCTTGTGTGTAAATTATGCTTAGGTCAATTCTTAACTATCTGGTGTCTATTCCTTGTGATCCTGAGGTTACCATAATATGGGTGTTCTTCAACCCCTGCATTTCTTTGCTCTTAGACTTTAAAAAATAACATTTTGGTCTAGAGTTCATTATAAATTTAACCAAATCTAAATCTAAGGACTTTTTGGCTTATTAGTTCATGTCACATTTTTCTATTAAGCAGGACATTCCATTTCTACACCAGATGTGATTACATTATTGGATGACGGGAAGGAGCCCTGGATGCTTATGAGGGAAAGGATAAGAAGACACTACCTTGGTGAGTGAGGCTTAGCAGGCATGGAAAAGTCATTACTGCAGGTAATAGCCAAGCTGGTTAGGGTAAAGGCACAAACTTTAGGTTTTGTTGAGGATATCTCTTCAAAAGCCCAAGGCTTGTGGAGTGTGGAGGAAAGGCCCGAGACCCAGGAAGCAAATTAAAATCTTTTAAGCCTAAACTAACCAAGGAACTTTCTATTGACCTTGTTACACTTCTCATATTTCTCTACCATTTCAAAGAGAGGAGCTGTTCTCAGTAGAAGAAAACAAAAGGATAAATATAAAAGCTGAAATTAACAAAATAGGAAAAATCTAGAGAAAATTAATAGAGCCAAAAGTTAATTGCTTGGAAAGATCAACAAAGTTGGTAAACAGTAAACTTGACTAATAAAGAGGAAAAGACAACATAAATTACTGTCAGGAATGGAAGGGGGTTTTCAGTTCACATTTTATGGCCATTAAAAGAATAATAAGAGCCGAAACCGGTTTGGCTCAGTGGATAGAGCGTCGGCCTGCAGACTGAGGGGTCCCGGGTTCGATTCCGGTCAAGGGCATGTACCTGGGTTGCGGGCACATCCCCAGTAGGAGATGTGCAGGAGGCAGCTGATCGATGCTTCTCTCTCATCGATGTTTCTAGCGCTCTATGTTTTTTTTCCTTTCCTCTCGTG